TAGGTTAACAAATATAAAAACAAACATTCACACAAAAAAAATCAGGAAAAAATTATCTGTAAATTTTACTTTCAAATGGATAAATTTTTTTTCAAATAGAAACACACCAAAGCACTATACTCACCAGCATTTTTGTGACCTTTTAGTATGTAAAGTGGTGCTGGGCTCTCCAGTGAGAAAATGCAAATATTATGGTCATTTCCTCCAGTGGCGATTAGTCCATGAGGATGTGCGTCACTTGAAGGTATGATGCATACACAAGATACAAAATTGGAGTGGCCACTCATACAGTGCATTTCTGTGAAGCCCCTGTTAGGACTAGAAAAACATGATAATAAATAAGACATACAGTTGTTCTCTAACATAGCCTAGGACAGCCGTGGGCAAACTATGGCCCGCGGGCCGGATCTGGCCCGTTTGAAATGAATAAAACTAAAAAAAAAAAAGACCGTACCCTTTTATGTAATGATGTTTACTTTGAATTTGTATTAGTTCACACAAACACTCCATCCATGCTTTTGTTCCAGCCCTCCGGTCCAGTTTAAGAACCCATTGTGGCCCTCGAGTTAAAAAGTTTCCCCACCCCTGGCCTAGGACATAGTTGTCAAAGTACTCATTTCATTTAGTGTCTAGGTTGAACTTTACAGAGTGCACACTATTTCAAGTATCTATTGTTTTAAATATTAAATAGCTAATATACACTGAGTGGCCAGATTATTATGACCACCTCATCAGTACTTCGTTGGGCCACCTTTTGCCTTCAATACTGCGGCGATTCTTCTTGGCATTGACTCCACGAGATGTTGAAAGATGATGCGAGGAATCTGACACCATGCCTGATGAATAGCACTGTCCAGTTCTGTGAGATTTGATGGTTGTGGAACCAGCTGCCTGATGGCTTTTTTAACTTCATCCCACAAATGCTCAATTGGATTGAGATCTGGTGATTGTGGGGGCCACCTAAGCAAGGTAAAGTCTCCCTCATGTTCTTGAGACCACTCCTGCACAATACGAGCACCATGGCATGGCGCATTGTCTTGTTGGAAGAAGCCATCTCCATTGGGATACGCCATCAACATGATAGGATGAACCTGATCATATATTATTTATTAATTACTGATCATCAACGATACTTAGGTATGTTGTGCTATTCAGACGTTGTTCCACATGAATTAAAGGGCCTAAGTCATGCCAGGAAAACATGCCCCAAACCATAACACTGCCCTCACCAGCTTGAAGGGTTGTACTCATGCATGTGGGGTGCATGCTTTCATGCTGTTTCCGCCAAATTCTCACTCTGTCATCTGCATGATGCAGCTGGAAACGTGATTCATCGGACCACATGACTTTTTTCCAATGCTCGACTGTCCAATCCTTGTGTTACGGTGCGAATTGGAGACGTTTTAACTTGGTAACTGCAGACAGCAAAGGTGTTCGAACAGGCCTTCAGCTGTTTTGCTGATACTCCATGGCTCCGAGCACCAACAATCATCCCATGTTCAAAGGCTGTTAAATCGTGTTTACCCGTATCTTCAGAAAAAAAATCACTTCTACTGTCGTGGTAAACAACCTGCTTCCCTATTTATAATGGTCTGGCCCTCTAGCAACTTCAGCGTGAAATTATAGCTAATTTGCCTACAAATGTCAGGTGGTCATAATAATCTGGCCACTCAGTGTCTATCAGCTACTACAAAGATTTATATCACCTTTGGAAAAGTTTAATTAGGTTTTCATTAATAACAGTTAACTAACAGGAAGAACAGAAGAACAAGGAAGGAAAGGGAAGGAAACAAATATATTACGTTGCTTTCCTCTTCCTCCATTTTCATTTCTACTTACCAGTAATTGTTACCCTGAGAAATCCGTGGTGAAGTGAAACCATTCATGCAATTAGATAATGGAACCCACTATCAATAAGCCTTAAACACTGAGGACATTTTCACATTATCAAACATAAACTTAGTACCCATCAGTATAGTACAGTGATGGCGAACCTATGACACGTGTGTCAGAGGTGACACGCGAACTCATTTTTTTGGTTGATTTTTCTTTGTTAAATGGCATTTACATATATAAAATATCAAAAATATAAGTCTTTGTTTTACTATGGTTGCAAATATCAAAAAATTTCTATATGTGACACGGCACCAGAGTTAAGTTAGGGTTTCTCAAAATGCTGACACGCCGAGTTCAAAAGGTTCGCCATCACTGGTATAGTATGTGTATCTAAATAGAATATCAATCATTCTCAATATGCAAACCATAGGAACTAATACAGCTATGTATAAATGACTGCTCTCGGGACACAGCACATCAACTCCCTGGGGATTAGAAAGATTAACAATTTCTTACACATTTAGTCACTTAGCATCACTGCCTTACATAACAAGTCTAACAACAGATTATGACATACTATATGGAAGGTGGTTAGTTGCTGAGAGGGATAAAAGAATTATCCCTCTCCTTTCCTCTCAGAAATCAATAGCAACATATATTTTAAAAATAAATAAATAAAACACAAAAGGTCCAAAAGGGAATAAAGGAGATGACAATAAAGGGAGGTCCAAGGATTAGTTGTGTACCAGGGGCAGACAGAGCAGGTCAGAAAGTTTTCACCAAAAGAAAAGGAAACTGTAAAATATCCAGTATGTCTAAAGTCTTGAAAGGAGAGAGATAAACAACTAGTATTTAAAGCTGAATTAGTGATACATAGAAAATTAAGCAAATGAAAACCCAAAATAAGGCAATTAGTAGCTATAGGGAGATCATAAAATTGTGAAGTTATCAGTTTATTCCATAGCTTAGGTGCACACAGACTATGTACAGTCACAATACTGATTCAGTTTCAATTAAGTTAATTTAAGGGCATTTGTGATGGGCATTGGCAGAAGGTGAAAAGAGAGCTAAATTCTCATATTCCACAATAAGATCTATAGAAAATACCTGAAATATACTATCCTATCTAATAGACAAACATGGTAATTGACTGTACCTTCGCTATGCCTCTTATTGGCTAATCATCGAGATATGCAAATTAACCACCAACAAAGATGGCGGCTAATTTGCATACTGCAGACGGGACAGCAACGGCCACCAGCGCAAGCCGCCATCCAGGCCCCCGTGGGCGACCCCAGAAGCCGCCTGCCTGACGCCCTTCATCTGAACCGGTCCCGGGCCGCAGGCCAGCCCCAGAAGCCCCAGAAGCTGCCTGCCTGACGCCTGTCATCGGATCCGGTCCCAGGCCGCAGGCCGGCCCCAGAAGCCGCCTGATATGGCAGTAACTCTATCAGTAAGCACTCTAAAAGTCAGTGGCATAAATGCACCAATTAAAAGACAGATTATGAGGATGAATCAAAAACAAAACCCACTTTATGTATAAAGACACATATAGATTAAAAGTAAACGAATTAAGCTGCAGCCTGTTTTGCCCAGTGGATAGAGCATTAGCCCGTGGACTGAAGGGTCCCAGGTTAGATTCCAGTCAAGAGCAGTTACCTCAGTTGCTGGCTTGATCCCCAGTCCCTATGAGAGCATGTGCAGGAGGCAACCAATCAATGTGTCTCTCCCTTTCCCTTCACTCTCTCTAAAATTCAATAGAAAAATATCCTTGGGTGAAGACTAACAAAAACAAAGTAAATGTATTAAGTAACATTAAAGAGATTATAAGAAAAATATATTCCAAATTTTGTTAGTTGTATAATGGTTATGTTTCAATTATTAACACCTAAGAAACTGGGTGAAGGGTACATATAATATGCTGTAGTATTTTATAGGTTTTTTTTACATGTATGAGATTATTTCAAATTAAAATATTAAAAAATTAAAAATTAATAAAATATTAATTGAAATGTATCTGCATTACATGAAAAATCTCCTAATTGCTTCTAGCATAATTTATTAAATTGTGCTAAAATTTAATAGGGTTCAATTAAAAAATATCTTAATTCTAAATGATATAATAGAAAATATATAATAGTGCAGTTATAAGCACTTATCTGAAAATAAAAATTTAAAGAAGTGAATTTAAAGAAGGGATTAGCCAAAGAAAATATATGCACAACCCATGGACACAGACAACAGTATGGTGATGGCCAGAGAGAAGTGGGAGGCAAGAGCTGAGTAGAGGGGGCAAATGGGGGGAATAGGAACATCCTATATAATCCTATATAATAAAAGGATAAGCCGAAACCGGTTTGGCTCAGTGGATAGAGCATCGGCCTGTGGACTGAGGGGTCCCAGGTTCGATTCCGGTCAAGGGCATGTACCTGGATTGCGGGCACATCCCCAGTAGGGGATGTGCAGGAGGCAGCTGATCGATGTTTCTCTCTCATCGATGTTTCTAACTCTCTATCTCTCTCCTTTCCTCTCTGTAAAAAATCAATAAAATATATTAAAAAAAAAAAAGGATAATATGCAAATTGACCCTAACAGCAGAATGACTGGGAATGACTGGTCACTATGACACAAACTGACCACCAGGGGGCAGATGCTCAATGCAGGAGCTGCCCCCTGGTGATTAGTGCGCTCCCACAGGGGGAGCTCTGCTCAGCCACAAGCCAAGCAGACAGCTGCCAGTACAGCAGTGGTGGTGGGAGCCTCTCCCGCCTCCTCAGCAGCACTAAGGATGTCTGACTGCAGCTCAGGCCTGCTCCCCGCTGGCAAGTGGACATCCCCTGAGGGCTCCCGGGCTGCCAGAGGGATGTCTGACTGCCAGCTTAGGCCCAATCCCCCGGGGCGGGCCTAAGCCAGCAGGTGGTTACCCAGAGGGGTCCCAGATTGCGAGAGGGCACAGGCCGGGCTGAGGGACATCCCCCCCAGTGCAAAAATTTTTGTGCACTGGGCCTCTAGTAATAATAATAAAAGGCTAATATGCAAATTGACTGAACGGCAGAATGGCCGGTTGCTATGATGCGCACTGGCCACCAGGGGGCAGATGCTCAATGCAGGAGCTGCCCCCTGGTGGTCAGTGCACTTCCATATGGGGAGTGCCACTCAGCCAGAAGCTGGCTCATGGCTGGCCAGCGCAGTGGTGGTGGCAGGAGCCTCTCCCACCTCCGTGGCAGCACTAAGAATGTCCAACTAAAGGTTTAGACCAGATCCCTTGGGGGCCTAAGCCTTTAGTCCGACATCCCCCGAGGGCTCCCTGGCTGCCAGAAGGATATCTGACTGCAAGTTTAGGCCTGATCCCCCAGGGAGTGGGCCTAAGTCAACAGGTGGACATCCCCCAAGGGGTCCTGGACTGCAAACAGGCGCAGGCTGGGCTGAGGGACCCCCCCCCCCCCACAGTGCACAAATTCTTGTGCACTGGGCCTCTAGTTTTAAAAATAAAAAGAAATAGCAATATAGTCATGCACTGCATAATGTTTCAGTCAATTGGACTGCATGTGATGTAATCCCATAAGATTACAATGGAGTGGATTACATATCTGTAGTGATGCTGGTGTAAACAAACCTACCATTCATATAGAAGTACAGCACATACAATTATGTACTTGATAATGGTAATAAAAGTCACATAACTGGTTTATATATTTACTATACTATGCTTTTTATCATTATTTTAGAGTATACTCTACTTATATACTCTACTTATAAAAATAAGTTTGCTGTAAAACAGTATGCTCTGTTACACTGCAGGAGCCTCATACATCTGTTTATGGCGTCTCTGAATTTGTATCATTTTCTCTGTGCATGATTTAATCTCCTGTTGTTTTGTACAGAAACATGCTGCACAGGACTGTATCTTAAGAGCATACAGTCTAGGTGTGTAGTCTGGCTATATCATTTAGATTAGTGTATGTGAACGCTGAGGTTTGCACAGCGAAATCACCTATCAACACTTTTCTCAGAATGTACCCCCCTAGTTAAGCAGCATGTGACTGTACAGCATTTTCTATAGAGATAAGTAAAATAAAAAATAAGCAGTTATTAGGAGATGAAAATTTTGCCTCCAAGAAAGGGAAATGGGGAGTGGGAAGGGACTTGCTCTGATTTATTAACAAACACCACAGAAGTATTTGTCTAAGGTCCCAAAGTGATGCGTGTTTATGAGACCATGGCATAGTAGGAGAGATTTAATGCAGGATGTAAAATCTGTGGTTGTGTCTTTCAAATATGGATAGATAGTTTTCAAAAGGCAAAGCAATAGTTGTGATAGACTTGAGAAATCCAGTTTAATCTGAAGTGGGCTTATAGCGGCCTGAAGCAATCTCAAAGAATGGTATACTGACTGGTTCAGTTTAATGTACAACCAAAAAGAAAAAAACCCAGAAAGAAAAATATGTCTCCTTTCTGAAGGACTTTCAGAAGGCCCAGGTATTTTGGGGGTTCCCAATGGGCTTTTGTGAAAGATGAGGTATCTAGTCCACCCTCGAACTATTTTGCATCCCTGAAACTAAATTGCCCCATCATTTCCAGTCCACCCCTACACTACCTGATCCAGAAACCTAAGGAAAACAACCTTCATTGACTACTTCTCCAAACATTTTACAGGGCTTCATTACTGTATTAATATGCAATGAAATAAAAATCGTCAGGATTATCAGCCTGAGGACACTTTTACAACGCTAAAAGTATGGTTGAGACACGCTAGTTTGGGATGCGTAAGAAGTTCATCACCCAGTGACTGTGAGATGCTCTACCCTAAGCAACTGGAAATGAGAAGTAAAACTATCTTATCTCTCTAATCACCTACCATCTTGCCCTGTGCCTGGCACAATGCAGGCTCTCAATCCGTGTTAGGTGAAAAAATACATAATAAATTTTGAAAAACTAAAAAAAAAAAATAATAACCCAACATGAGTTAAACGAAAGAACCAGTTTTCAGATAGAGGATCATTTCAGCCCCAAGTTCCTCAAGTTCCTGGTAAACACAATCACTCCAGTGATTTAAGTTCTTGTCAACCTAGCACACTCATACACAACATGCACAGATGGAGCCATGGCAACTGGCATCCCCTTCAGATACTCCTCACCTCAACGTTTACATCCTAGTAGGCATGTGCTTCTACTGACCTCCATTTTAGATGTACACGTTAACAGTAGTCGTCTTCAAACACACACTACTATTACGAGGTGGTCTGGAGTATCACCCAACCTTAGAAGAGACCTTTAGAAGCCATCTCCAGTTCAATACAGGAGTTTGCTCTACAATACCCTAGCCAGTGGTCGGCAAACTCATTAGTCAACACAGCCAAATATCAACAGTACAACGATTGAAATTTCTTTTGAGAGCCAAATTTTTTAAACTTAAACTATATAGGTAGGTACATTGTTATTAACTTAGTTAGGGTACTCCTAAGGCTTAGGAAGAGCCACACTCAAAGAGCCGCATGTGGCTCGCGAGCCGCAGTTTGCCGACCACGGCCCTAGGCTAGTCTATCACGTCCTGGCTACACTACTGCAAACGCCTCCAAAATGATCCACTTCCACATTTACCCCTTTGCAATCCGTTCTCCACTGGCAGCTCGCAGGAACTTCTCAACAGGTAAATGGAATCGTGCTGCTCCTTGCTTGAAACCCTTTAAATAAAGGCTTCGAACTAGGACAACCCTTCCTCTGCCCTCAAAGACTTGCCCACCTCACAGCTCATTCCCTCCTGCACAAAGGGGCTGTCTTCTTGCTCAGCCCAGGGCCTCTGAGTGTGTCCCTCCAGCCACCTACAGTGCTCTTCCAATTTGCCTTCCTTATTCCTGGCTCCCATGACAAGCTCCATGTGTCAGATTAAAAAAAGAAAAGAAAGCCCTAACCGGTTTGGCTCAGTGGATAGAGCGTAGGCCCGTGGACTGAAGGGTCCCAGGTTCAATTCCGGTCAAGGGCATGTACCTTGGTTGCGGGCACATCCCCATTAGGGAGTGTGCAGGAGGCAGCTGATCAATGTTTCTTTCTCATCAATGTTTCTAACTCTCTATCCCTCTCCCTTTCTCTCTGTAAAAAATCAATAAAAAGTATTTTTTAAAAAAAGAAAACACCTCCTCAGAAAGGCTTCCTTCTCTAACATCACTCTTCACTCAACTCTATATGGATACTTGTTTTCCTCAGGCCAAATATGTAATTATTTTTCTATTGTTTTTTTTTTTTATCCATCTTCCCTTCCACATTATAAGCAAGTTCTATGAGACATAAGAGAACTTGTCTGTCCTCTTCTCCTTCAAGATTTCAAACACATTAGAAGGCACTCAACCCATAGTTACCATCTGAATTTATGGATAACCCAAACTCCGTGTGAAACCCCTACTGATGGGGGGCTAACAAAGCAACTCCGCTCCAATTTTTCTCTTTCTGAACTGAAATCTGTTTTCCGGTGACAATCAGCCAAATCAAGGCTGAACTCTTGAACTTGATTTGCACTGGAGCTTAACCTTTTGTGCCTTTATTTGTGAGGGAGGAGGCAACGGACTTTCTCTCCTCAAAAAGCAGCACATCCCCCACGCACGTCCACAGAACATGTGAGAGATCTCCTCCCCTCCATCGAAGCCCATCGCAGACCCCAGACTAAGCAACTCTGACTTGAACAACTTTCTGCAGGGCCATGTTTGAGAACTGAGGCTACAGAGCACATCCTAGAGCAGATGTGTTCACATGGCCTCACGGAGGAGGGTGCACGGGGCGTCCATCAGTTTCCAAAATCTCAGAGCAACGCGGGACATCGTCGTCCAAAAACTGAAGCCCCAAGAGGGAAGAAGTTCGTCCAAGGTCACCCGCTCGCTAGTGGTCAAGTCGGGACACGAAAGCAGGTCCCTGGCCCCCCCAACCCGCTGCTCCTCCCACCGCGCGCCCCGAGCGCCGGTGCTCTCGGGACCGGGAGGGAACGCAGCCCTGGGCGCAGGCCGGGGAGGACGGGAGCGGGCAGGGCGCACCGGGGAGGGTCCGCTCTCTCCCCACTCGCGGCGAGACGCGTGCAACACAGTCAGGGGCGCGGGGGTGCCGGGCTCGCAGCGCTCACCTGTCCGGGACCCAGAGGCGGGTGGTGCGGTCCCGGGACACGGACACAAAGGCCCCCGGCGGATAGAGGCAGCACACCAGGCCCCGCACGTCCAGCTCGTGGCCCTGGAGCGAGCAGCTCAGCCGATACCTGGCGGCGACGCTCTCCATGGCCCCGGTCGGTCCGGCGCCCGGGCCCGGGCCCGAGCAAGAGCAGTCGGCGGGGGCGGTGGGGTGTGCGAAGGGCCGCGGCGCGAGAGGGACTTGCAGGGGAGAGGCGCCCTGACAC